TATTTATTTATTTATTTATATGTATAAATAAATATTTATATAAATGTGTATGTATAAGTCAAAATTTCTGATTTGTAAAATGTAAAAGTTGTTTTGTTATTTTTGAAATAGGGTAAAGATAAAGTAGGGAAAGTGAATTTTTCCCATTTTTTTTTATATATATATACTCATGATATGCATTTTTCCACTATTACCCTTAAATGGGTAAATTTCTAGCACAAAGTGGGCCGTGTTTTTGAAATAGTCATGTCAAACATTATATTCCACACATGGACCTAACTTACTATTTATTCATCATAACGACCCTTTTAACATTAAAAGACAAACATACCATTCATTTCAAAATTACCGAACCCTCGACTCAGACTCCCCGAATCACCCAAGACCCCGAACCGCAGAACCACTCGGACCCCCAATCCCTGAACCCCAAACTACCCGGACCCCCAAACCTCGTTAATAAATAACAAATTTGATGTGATTTCTTCATAAATTCGAATTTCTTCAGCATAATAAAATAATTTTTTGTTTAACTATTTGAATATTAAAGCTAAAAACACATTATCCATCAATATTATAAGCAAAAAAATTCGAATTTAACCAAATAATATGAAGAAACCTTGAATATGGAGATTGATGAAAAAACTTTGAAGAATGGAGATGGGGAAGATGAATAAACATTGAAAAACAAGAAATGGTAAGATTTTCAAATTCTCAGTGTTCAAAATGGAAGTAAATGGGTATTGTCATTTCTTTAAATTTTCTACTTCTTTTTTTTTAAACTTGATCAAATGGCATTGTGAAAAAGTGGTCGGATCAACCGACCATCTACCACCATTCCCTCGCACAACCCAATAATGGAAGTATTCAACTAGTGGAATTTTAAATTTTATTCATGTCCGTCAGTTGCACAATCTTATATTCAGTACAATATCTAGTGTGCAAAAAAATTGAAATTTCTTAAAAAAAAACACTTTTCAAGGCCGTCAAACCGGGCTTAGTTTATTGTGTTATAAGTAGGGAAATTGCACTTTCTTTTTCTAATTTATTTATGTTGTAACAGGATTTCCTTAATCTCCGTTTGCTATGGTACCATCCGGAGCTAGAAGTGAAAATGGTGCACTATTGCGCTGCTGTAAGCATAATTTGTTCTTACACTTGATTTTTTCTTCACAATGGTAGTGAATTCTAGCTATAAAATCCCTATTGACATTAATTTTTCACCTAATTTAGGTATCAGAGCCATGGACCTACACCAGTTTGGAAGCTGATATGGACGGGAAGGATGTCAAAATGTTGGTCGAAAAATGGTGGGATACTTTTTAAAATGAAACACTTGATTTCAAAGCTGAAGACTTCCACAGGGCATGCCATTGGTCTCAGAACACGAAAAGCTGAAATTACAGAGCCGAGGACTCCTAGGGTTTTCTCAAGGCCATCACCAGTCCTGCCTTGTTTGAGAACATGCCATTTTCGAAGCGCAGTTGCTCGGAGAAAGCAAGACAGTTGCACTTGATATTAGCCCCATAATGAAAAGGGAAGTTGATAATAAGCACTTCGCATAGAAACTATAGGTTCAAGAAAGTAGCAGTAGAAGAAGAAGAGAATGTGGAACTTTTCTGTTCCCTATAAACAAAAATAGCCAGAAATATGTGACACAGAAGTGATAACAGATGATCAAGAAAATGTCACTCGAGTTCTGCTTTAGTCCCGATAATCATTCAGTAGTAATTTCTAATTTACTACCAGCAAAACTGCCTCAAAAATTTGACAAAAGTGCTCTATATTTTCACCTAAACTAATATAAAAACTGAAGTAGTTACATAAACTAAAAGTTGTCAAAAGCTTGAGCTAGTGGTTGGGTCAAAATGGGACCTAAGCTAAGATTATAAAGCCTCACAATTCAATGTTTTTCTTCATTTTTTCCTGACAATTACCAACATCAACCTACTGCAGTGGTGATTTTATCAATTTCAAAGGTTTTAAAAATAGGAGTAGGGTCTCCAGAATTCGGTATTCTTCTCGCTGAAGTTAGAGTTCTTGTGAACCAATTCTCTTTCGACTATCCAATTTCCGCTTTTTTGAAGCCAGCCGGGGTCTCAACTGCATAGAATGTCAAAATGTAAGATATGATTTTCCATCATATAAATATTACGGACTTAAATGGGATAAGCAAACTGAAAGGGATGAGCAGTTCCTAAGAAAGTCAAATAAAAATGTACAATCAAGGGATAAAGTGGCATCTAGGAAAATTATATGGGGTATCTTTAATTTGATTTACTAGACAAGAACATTCGGTCCAATCCAATTCGATTGAACTCGACTCTTTCAAATTGTTTCCCATTATTGAGAAAACTTTGTCACTAGCTAATACGTAACTACTATTCTACACTTGATAGGGGAGATAGCCGCAGAGATTGGATGAATTGGTTTCACACCTATGTACTTCACAACATAAGAGTTGAGAAAATTTTCTGCATTCCACAGTTTCTGATTCGATTAAGTTACAGTTCAGATAAACAATATAGAAATTTCGTCGAGTTACAAACTAGATTCCATTAGCAAATAAATTATGTGAATATCTGATATCCATTAACATCTATAGCAAATACAAGCGAATATGTTTAAAATGGCAACATATAGGCAGATACTACTTCAAATGCAAAAGACTAACAAAAGTTGGTCATGTAAGACATAAAGGTTCTGCTGACCGCTGATTGATAAGGCAACAAGCTTTAACAAACGAGATAATGAAAGATAATAAGGGAGCAGGGGATATCGACAGAGATTGAAATACGCATTGGTACTTCATACTTAAATTCCAGAAAAGTATATTTTAGTGGACTGAAAAGTAAAGTTCTTCAAATTGTTATTTTTGATGTAATAATCGGACCTGTTCATAGAATCTTCGTCCCCAAATCCTACCGTAACTACAAAAAGCTTAAATCACTACAAGAAGTCCTAGTTCTAGTTGAAACCTAAAAGAAATACTGACTTAGGAGTCCACTTAAAAATCTAATCCTTAACCAACTAAAATTCAAGTCTAGTAAGAATAAGAATGCTAGTCCAAGTAAAATTGAACTCCTGCTCAAGGTATCAACTCGCTTCAACTCTTCTTTAGATATCCAAGCACTATAAGGAAGGTTTACACAACTATTTGATTAAAAAATGGTGATATTTACCCCGAAGTACTCGGATGGCTATTGATCGTCCACTGCTCTTTATCAGACTCCTATCATCTCCTCCATTCCATAAAATTCAAATAAATCTGCTACATTGAATATATGCTTAATTTGAAGGTTATTTGCTAATTCCACCACAAAAGCATTAGAACTAATTTTCTCCAAAATCTAGATCAATCTTTATTGGCCTGAGCTTAATATAAGTAGCCTTTGGAACCTTTTTCTTCTCAAATGCAAAAAAAACTTGATGACCTTTAATGAATTTCTTGAACTTATGGTTCTCATCAACATTTTCTTTATACAACTCATCCTTAGATTTAATCATAGGACGTAACTCCCCATGAATAATTTTTATATGTTGAACAAATAACTCTGCATCTTTACTAACTCGTGCATCTAGCAATAATGAAACAAGAGCCTATATGTGTTGGGGCTTATGACCCACAGCAGTAAAAGTTTTCTTTTTTTCTTTTTGGTAATTTGCTGAATTATTAAAAGCAAATTAAGCTTGAGTTATAATCAAGTTCCATGTTTTCATGAGATTAAAATTATGGTTTTCCACAAAAGAGAGAAAGAAAAAGGTTATCTTAAATGAAAGAAAGGGATAAAAAAAGAAGACAGTGCTTAGGGGTGATCTGCACCAGATATCTCAAGACACCAGCAATGTCATTGATCTCACCAAAGCCATGGAAACTAACAAGAGTGAACAATAGATAAAAGGGTATAAACCTGCAAGGATTCACATGACTTACCATCTCTATGTACTTCAATTGCTTCATGATTTCTTCTGTGTCTAGCTCCTGAAACAGAAACATGAACCATATGACTGTCAAAAATGGAATTAAGAAGATGCTGAAAAGAACTAAAATTTCATAATATAGCTCTAATAATAAAATCAAAATTTTAGATGCTAAACTATACCTGTGGATGAAAACAATAAAAATAGCAACTAAAGGGTATGCACCATGGAAATAAATCAATATTCAACGACCTTTGTCACACAAATACTTGAGCAGCAATACAGATCTGTTCTCCCTATCTGTCCATCTATCAAATAATATATATGCAATGCAGGTTGAAGCAGATAAAAATAGCATGTATCCTTTTGTTAAAGATATTAAGCTTCGAATCATGAAATGAGGAGGAAAAAAGCAACTCATGCAATGTCCTGTTATTTTAGTACACTTCAACTTTGTCTTGGGGAAGTGAATACGTAACTGCAACCCTGGTTTCTTTGTATTATCAAATCGCAAGATGTATTATTTACTGAGTTTGTGTACCAAAGGTTCTTGTTTTCTAATCAGGACTTAACGAATTATAAGAAGATTGATTATTGAATGAAGACAGGTCACCAGTCTACGTATACAGAGAGTGCTCAATTTGTAATAAATGGATCCATGAAGCGAACATTTTTGGCAATGGTAATATTCTAACAGGTGCAAGCAATTTGTGACAAGGGTCAGTCATACCAGATACCATAAAAAGTATAAAGTCAACAAATATAGTGAAAGCAGTCAACTAAAATAAATTAGCAGTAGCTGGCTATTTTTGTGAGAAAATGATTTAGAAAATTTGATAAAAGGAAACTTATGAGCAGTTATATAAAATGAGTAAAATACCTGGGGTACAGCACAATCAGCATAAGCTGGACACCAAAGAACACCACAGAAGCATTCCCAGTCATCAGTTTGAACTTCAAAAAGAGGGGCCCTGCAATATGTTCATGTTTTAGTGGGGGGGAATATGAAAGATAATATTTAGCCCCTGTTTGGGCTCCATTTTATTTAAAATACATTTTTCTCTGTTCTTTTTAACCACGTATTCTTCAATAAAATAATATTACACGTAAATCCAATATTTTTCCTTTTTTTTAACCACACATTCTTCAAAAAATCACTATTCCAAAATACATTTTGCCCTAAAATTTGATTTTAATGGAGCTCAAACAAGGGCTTAGAATCACTATTGAATAGATGGAAATGATAGCACTGAATTTATTATTGAAATGGAAACAAGAATATATTGAGTCATTGACCATAATCTTATAGCAGATGCAGAAATAGCATTGTTACCAACTGCAAAATAGGCACTTTGGAAGGAGAATGATTGACCAATTCAACATTTTTAGCAATCAAACTTGAAAACTGTTGGCGTCCAAACTCGAAATCACCTCGGACACACCTCAAATGAGATTAGAAAGGAGTTCAACAGAAACTATCAAATGCACCACCACGTCGTCAAAAACTCAGCCAAAGAGCTTGGCCAAGTGCTGCCATCATTTGAGAACATCATCATTATCACCTTGAAAAGGTATCCCCTGTGATGTCACCACCTCCTAACAGCCACTTCTAAGAGGACAAGTGTCACCTCGGACGTCAACACCTCCCCATCCACCAATCAAAAGGGAACAACGATTGCCTATGCAGTTGACAATCATGACCTAGACTGTAGCTACGACCTAGGTAGAATGATGGTATGCTCGACTGAACTCAACAACCAATTGAAACTCTTTAATTAGGGTGGTGGCACACATATCGAGGTCAACATTGTAGCTGATGTGAAAATGGGCAGCAAATACTTGGTATGCTTATAAATAGGGACAGTGGTGCCCTCCCAAAGGCCAAACTCAATTCACTCC